GTGATGTTGAGTCAACGTACCTTGGGAAGATCTTCATTTTACAGAAGGGCCTGGTAAGACCACACGGCCCGGCCTTGAGGCTTTTTGTCATCGTTAAATTAAACCCGCATTCTTAATCCAAAATATGGCATTGGAACAGCGACTCGAAAATGGTTAATTGGGATGTCGAGATGTTTTTTTCTACTTAGGATAGTATTGTCAGGATATTTACCCCAGGGAAATAGTAGACACGTTTGTTTCCAGTTCGACCAAAACGCATCACTTTCATAAAAAAAAAAAAAAAAAAGAAAAGAAAGAACCCCCTCGTCTGCTTTTTAAAATAAACTAGCATATGTAGAAGGGTTTATGAATTTTTTAGTAACTCTGAATGTGTAGCCTAATTTACATTTCTGCATTTTCGAGGGATATTACTTAAAATGATCACCTTAGCTTCAGAATGACTGCGTTCGGAAGAGAGGCTGGCCGAGGGAGCGGAGTGGACCCTTGAGCGCTGAGGTGGGGACCTGCCGGCCAGTGATGACAGCCCTTAGCAGGGTGTAGCCAGCTTCCCTCTCCCTGCGAGAAGTCAGGGGCAGCAGCCCTGGCCATAAAACTGCAGTGCTATAGACTTCGCACCTTCACTCCCTTGGTCCCTTTTGGTATCTTTGAAACTGACCTTGCACCCAGAACTCGTAGCTTTTGTTCATAAACAATTATTAAAGCATTAAGGAGGCTGATGTAACAGTGAACACAAGGAGCAAAAATCTTTGTCGTGTTGGGGCTTCTGTTCCAGAGAATTCTTTCTGTTTCCTGAGCCCAGGCCCACAAAGAACCCAGAAAGAAAAGTCTTGGGGTCTCTTCATAGAAAGCAGCTTAATTTAGATTCATTTCAGTTCCACATTATGGTCAGTTAGGGAAGGAAGCAGAGACAGGTAAGGTTTCTCAGCGAGTCTGGGGGCCTAAGTTCATGGGGACGGAGGGGCTAGAGAAGGCAAGAAGAGAAACAGGGCAGCGGGAAGCGGCCGACTCAGGGAGAGCTTTCTGGAGTCCTATCTGCCACAGGTCCCGCCTTCCGAGGGGCTGAGCTCTCACTTCTCTTCTGCCTTTTCACCGCCCCAGTCTCTGTCACTTCAGAGCCGGGAGCCGCTTGAGCAGTTCCTGGAAGGACTCACCGAAGGGGGCTGAACAAAGTATGTGTCACACGGCGAACACAGGCAGGTGCCTTCCCAACCAGGGCGTCGTGGAGCCTTTCCTGTGCCAAAGTGCGTTGTCAGTCTGGAGGCTTGGAATCGTTCTTCTCAGAATGTACCAGAATGCTTTTTCACAGCTGAGAGAGATGCTTCAGGGGTCCAGGCTGAGAGCTCTTTCTTCAGTGCGTCCCCAGGGATTAGAGGCTCTTCACCTCCATTTTAAAGTCTTCCATCGTTTTCTTGTTAAAATCTGACCATCTTTGGGTTTAATAATAAGTACGATCCACAGAGGGCACTTTGGGTCCGACTCAGTGCCATTCAGCCACTGACAGGTGTTCTGTGCATCACGTCCCACTTTTCTGTTCCTGTAGGTGGCCCGGGTGAGGGGATAGCATGTTGACTTCATCTGACTTTTTTTCATCTTAGCCTGAGAGTGGCCTTTCAGAGATCCATGATACCCTAAGCCCTCCAGTTGCAAATCGAGCACTGCCCCTTGGGGTTTGACCCTGGTGAATTACTGAGAACTATAGAGTTCCTTCTCTGTCAATTCTTGGACATCGAGTAGGACTCTGGTTGCCTTTGGCATTGTTAGTGTTGATCCTTAGGAAGGAATCCAAGATACAGACTGCCTAAGTGATACTCCATTGAGTTACATGGGCAAGAGGGTATTCCCACGGACCACAGCTTCGGTGGAAGGCCGTAAGGGTTCCTCAGGGCTTGGGAGGACATCAGCTAACCGTTTTGATGAAACAGCCCTACTTTGGGCATACAAGCGTGGGTACTTAAGTAATTAGATCAGCTGCTATGATAGACTTGTTCTAGGATATGACTAGTGTTTGCAAGTCAGAGAATTCTTCTTACCCAGTGTCGTCATCCTTGGTTAGTACTGACTGTTTTGGGTGAGCATTTTAGGGCCTCGTTTAAATAGACCCTGTTTAAGTTGGCTATCAGTTAACTAGAAAAGGGTTAAAAAAAAAAACAAACAGTAGGGGGTCTGTGACTTTTAGACTAACTCCTCAGATTGTTTGAAAACCTAGTGGTAGCCATTTTAAGATGGAGCAATCAGACCTCACGTTAACTTTAAGTTAAGTAAATTATGGGGACAGTTGGGACATAGCTAATAGTGTCAGGAACCTTCATATGCCTATCATCCAGCTTCCACAGTTGGATCAACAACCAGTGTTTCTGCGTTATCTCTGTCCACCTCCTCCTGCCATTATTTTGAAGCATACCTCAGCCCTTGTGAAATTTCATCTACAGATGTTCTCAGCATGTAGCTGTAAGATACAAAGATCCCCCCTTCCCCTAAACATAATGATAATGCCAATGTCACAGCCTTCCAAGTGAGTATAATTCCACAATGTTGTTGATGACCCAGCATTCACATTTCCCCTACTGAAATACAATAAATATAAAGATCTATACAAATATGTCAACATTTGAGACTCCAAACAAGATTCACATATTGCATTTGGTTAATGTGGTCTTTCAGTCATTTCTTATTTATTATAGATCCCAGTTCCCCATTTTTGTTGAAGAAACTGAGTGCTGGCCCTAGGCGGTTTTTCGTAGTCTGTGATGGTGGTCAACATGCTCTCTGTTCCCTGTATTCCCTATAAATTTGTGATTTAGAGGTTGGATCATATTCGTATCGAACCCACAAACCGTCACATCATGACTTGAACCGAAGTCAGACACTTAACCAACTGAGCCACCCAGGCGCCCCTGTACCGATACCTTTAATATAATACCGTTGTTTTGCTCTTACGGGTGTGGGGTGGGGGTCATCCTCTCTTGGTTTCCTGCTGTGAGTAACATTGAAATTATCTAGAAGCCTGTTCTTTCCTCTCCCTTTTCTCCCCCTAGCTTGGCATTTGAAGTCCTATTCTTTCACCTCGGTTACTATCTGTACAATCAGCAAGCATATGCTACTTTTCATATAGTCCTCCTGTCCCTAATTTTGCTGATACTGAAATTGCTTTATCATACTGTATAGCCATCCTACATTCTATTTCCTTTGTTACCACTCTTTGTTTTACTAGTAAATATATGTTTGATCCTGGCCACTGGTCCTTATGCCCTGTCTTTCCTGGCACTTTGGTTTTCTGAAGCGCATCCTTAACTAGATGCCTCAGGAAGCACTCATGAGAAGTATCTCCTGAATTCTGTGTTCATAACAGCTTGTCTGTCGCCTTTATACTTCTGAGTCAGGTTGGCTGATAGAAGGTCCTTGGCTCATCTTCTTTGCTCAAGTATCTGTAATATTTTATGGTACTGTCTTTTGCCATACAGCATTATCAAAGTCTGCTGAGAGTCTGATTTTCTTTCCCTCACGTTTCACTTGGTGTGTTTGCCTAGATATCCCAAGGAGTGTATTTTACTTTTGTTCTTTGAAGCCCAGAAGTATTTTGTATTTTACTTTTGTTCTTTGAAGCCCAGAAGTATTTTGTATTTTACTTTTGTTCTTTGAAGCCCAGAAGTATTTGACAGCATTGGGTGCTTTGCACTGATTTTTCTCCAGACACAATGCACCTCTTAAATAGGTACTTATCCAGGGATGTTTTCTTGGGGCAAAGCTTTTGCTGGCTGTTCTAGTCTTTTTCGTTGGCTTTAGGAATGCCCATTATGTGTATGTTAGATCTTCTTTGGCTGTCTTCTATGTTAACCATTTTTCCTAAATCCTTGTAGTGTTTTCATAATTCATGTAAATTTAAAAATTTTGTTCCTCTCCGTCTTCTGGTTCTTTCAAGGCACTATTCACTTTATTTGCTCTTGTGCTTGTTTTTTCTTTTTTCTTTTTCTTTTTAAATTTACCCTTCATTTCCAAAATGATTTTTTTCCTTTTACTTCTAATTCTGTTCTCAGTTCTTTACCTCCAGTCTCAAATCTTCCATTTTCTCCAGTCAACTAATTTTTGAGTTTCGAAAATTCTGGTTTTATGGTTCTTTATATCTTCTTTGATTTCATGTCTTTCAGCTTATTTTGAAAATACTGGGTTATAGTTTTCATCTGTTCTCTTTCCTTCTGGCATGATTTTATTGTCTATGCTAGGGATGTCATTCTGCACCTTGTTGTGTCTTTAAATAACAATTTGGAATTCAACTGTGATTCTTTTCTATTGTTCACCGTCAGTTTCCCTGTACTTTTAGTAGGGCCAGTGTAGCCTTTCTGGCCTCACAATTCTAGAATACCACTTAACGCTGTTTTCATGGAGTGGTATATGGACTCTATTTTCTTTCTTTTTTTTTTTTTTTTTAATTTTTTTTTAAATATTTTTATTTATTTCTAGGCGAGAGAGAGAGACAGCGTGAGCAGGGGAGGGTCAGAGAGAGAGGGAGTCACAGACTGAAACAGGCTCCAGGCTCTGAGCTGGCAGTCAGCACAGAGCAAGACGCGGGGCTCGAACCCACGAACCGCAAGATCATGACCTAAGCGAAAGTCGGACGCTTAACCGACTAAGCCACCCAGGCGCCCCATATGGACTCTATTTTCTACAGGCTAAGATCTTACACTTTCAGTCCCCATTCCTATCCACTCCAACCCCTGCCCCTGTTTTGCTCATCTTAGATTCATTGCCAGTAGTTTCTCCTCCCTCTGGGACTTTCTCCTTTCTTGTTGATTCATAAGAATCAGATTTCCCCCACCCCAGAACATTCCAGGACTTTAGACCTGCATGGGTCACAATTCCCTCTGCAGGTACTAGTGAAATTGGGACCCTCAAAGCCCCTTGCCAGTTTGCGTGGGTGTTCTCAGAACATTCTAGAATGGCTCTCTGAACATTCTAGTGAGCATCTAATGGTGATGCTTGGAGCTGTTAGTAGGCTGGTTGTCCTCATCTTCTCACATACAGGGAACACCTTGCCACCCGGTTTTGTTATCGATGTTGTCCCTCAGTTTCTGGCTCTGCTCTGTTTTTATGGTTAGTATGGGTGTGGGTCGGGTACACTCAATCATTATGCTGCTGCCACTGTAGCTGCCTTGAAAGAATCTCCATAGACTTTTTTTTTTTTTAAGTTTATTTATTTATTTATTTTGAGAGAGAGAATCCTAAGAAGGCTCTGTGCTGTCAGCAAGGAGCCTGAGGGGGCGGGCTCGAACTCACAGACCATGAGATCATGACCTGAGCTGAAATCAAGAGTCAGATGCTTAACAGACTGAGCCACCCAGGCGCCCCTCTCCACAGACTTTAAAAAAAAAAATGTTTATTCTTAGAGAGTATGCGCGAACAGGGGAGGGGCAGAGAGAGGGAGACACAGAATCTGAAGTAGGCTCCAAGTTCTGGGCTGTCAGCAAAGAGCCTGATGTGAGGCTCGATCCCATCAACCATGAGATCATGACCTGAGCCATAGTTGGACACTTAATCGACTGAGCCATCCAGGGGCTTCCATAGACTTTTTAACGTAGGATTTGGTAGCCTTTTCATCTACCAAATTGGGACCAAAGTAGCAAAGTCTTGAAGCGTTACATTACCGGTAGCTGACTTTATAAATCATTTTCTTCCAAAATAAGTTATTAAAAATGTGCCACAGAAAGAAAAGTTTAGTGGTTGTGACTCTCCAAAAGACTGGAACCGAACATTTTATGGTCTACCTAGCATTAGCTTTCTAAGCTTATTGTTTATGACAAAATGTAATGGTTGAAATCATCAGAGTACCAGGAAGCTCATATCTGAGCTATCATTTCTGAGGAAAATGCATAAAAACCGACACACTCTGCCATTGTGTGGTATAATATTCCTTGAGTTCTGAAGGAGATAATGCCTTTTTATGGTTTTAAAAGCATTAGACCACATTTAAACTTTAATATCATCTAATAAAGATGAAATCATTAGTTAATTAGGTGCGTTTTTCACTTTCGGCTTTTTTCCCTTTGTGAAAAAATTTGCATATCTCTAATTATAGTCATTTGAAAAAAATGCTGCCAGGACTTGACATAATATTAATTTAGATTTCCAAAAATACTAAATATGCCTCCTCCAATTTGAGCTTCCTTCAACTGGCTATTGATTTAAATTATGTATTAAGAGGTTACGATTTCAGAATTGACCTCTCCCCCTACCTTTTAAGGGATAGTCATTACTCTAAAGTCATATAAGAAAGAAGTAAAACTTTCTCAGTGGACATACTGGAAACCTAAAAAAAAATTCTGGAAAACAGAGGTGATTGAGTGGCTCAGTCAGTTAAGCGCCGGGCTCTTGGTTTCAGCTTAGGTCATGATCTCGCAATTCGGGAGTTCAAGCCCCGAATGGAACTCCATGCTGATGGTGTGGAGCCTGCTTGGGATTCTCTCTGCCCTTCCCCCGCTCACTCTGTCTCTCTCTTTCTCAAGATAAATAAACTTAAAAAGAATTCTGGAAAATGAAGTAAAATCATTTTCAGACATTTCCTCGTATTTTCTACAAAAAGATCGAGAAGAAATCATTTTGAAAACAGAGCTGGTCATTACGGATTCTTTGCAAGAGAGCAGGCTTAATGTATTACTCTAAGTGAATGTCACCCAAGAAAAATTAAGGGAAAAGTGAACACTCATTAAGCAAATTGACCAGCAAGTGTTCGGATGAATGTCGCAACAAATTTGAATAAACTAATTTTGTCCATTAGTGTGCTTTTAGACCAGTGTGATTGTTTTGGTCTAATTATTTTTTATTTTGTTTATTCAAATGTAGAATGGCTGCAGAATTAACTATTTTGCAGCAATTTTCTGATTAGCAATTTAGAAAATTGGTGAATGGTATCTGAACTCACTAAGCCACGTCTGTACTCGGTAGGGGCTGAGCCGCAAGAAGGCTTCTCGACTCAGGGGAAGCCTGCACTCTCTGCTCTGTTTCTCACCCACTGCAGATGGGGGCTCCGAGGCCCGTGCTGGGTTAGCATGGGCTGTGGGCCTGGGCTCTGGGCCCTGAGACGGAGGGCACCAGATTGAGGTCTGATGTGCTGTAGAAGTCGCATTTGCCACCCAGTGTCACTGTTCTGGAGTCCTGTAGCTGTGCCTGGTGAATTCTGCAACATTTCCCACTTCCAAAGCTTGGGGATTCGAGAAATCTGTGCCCGAGTGGCTGCCAAAGCTTGTCAGGGGGACCCAGCGCGAGGCCGATTTCTAGGTGTAAAAGCCAGGCAGATTTGCTCACTCAAGAAAATCTGTTTTCGTAGGTTTGCTTTGACTTCCAAGATACAGATACTGGTAAAATTTCCTTTCTTTTTCTTTCATTTTTTTTTTCTTTTTCTCTTCTTTCTTGTTTTCTTTTTTTCTTTTTTTTCTCTGCTGCACAAATGCGGAGTTTCTTCTGGTAGCTGTAAGCCTTACTGGGTTGGGGAGTAACTGCTTCTCCAAGTGTGGCCCTGGACCACAGCAGGGGCATCACCTGGGACTTTTCAGAAGGCCAGACTCGCCCCCCACCCCGGACCTGCTGAAATGGGAAGTTCAAGGAGCAGGGCCCACCCAGAGGTCCATTTTCATGACCTTCCAGGTGACGCCGGTAACAGGCTGAGGCTGGCGAACCGCTAGTCTAGTTCCCGGGCTTTGTCGCAGTGTCAGGCAAGGGGCAGTTGAACAGTGAAGGCTCGTGGGGCCTCTTGAGTGAGAGGCCAGGGTGCAATTCTCCGTTCTCTTCTGTTGCGCTTAGAAAGATAGATATGAATTTCGGTTAGTCCAGACAGGAAAACAGACAACTGCAGTGCCGTGGGCTGGGCCTCCGTACAGACTGCAAGGGGCCTTTAGAGCCTGCGTGTGCTGGGGGAGGGAACAGGAAAGCGCCTTTAGAGGTGGTATTTAAAAATGGTTTTTTAATGCATATTTATTTTTATTTTTGGGAGAGAGAGAGCATGAGCAGGGGAGGGGTTGGGAATTGGGCCAGAAGATCTGAAGCTGGCTCTGAGCTGTCAGCACAGAGCCCGAAGCAGGGCTCAAACTCAGGAACCAGGTCATGACCTGAGCCCCTCACTTACCTGACTGGGACACCCAGGCGCCCCTAGAGGTGGTGTTTGAAAAGGACAAATAGGATCTTGTTTGATTAGCTCAGGTGGATCCCACTCAGGGCATCAGTGTCTCCCTTGGATCCCTGTTGTGCACACAGCACCGTAGTGCTTTCTTCCCTCCTTACGGGTGTCCTGCTCCTTTAAGCAGTACTTCTGCAGGAGGTGGCCCTCGGTGGCCCTCTGCCCGCCCGCAGGGGACTGTGTTACTCCCTGGTTTAGTGCACTTCAGGTCGCAACTGGCTTGTTTCCTTTGCAATCCTTTTCGACCCCCCAGGGTGGGTCAGGTCAGCTCCCACTTTACAGTGCGCTTCATCTCACTCATCACATTGTAATTATACAATTGTATAATTATTGGTTCATTGCTCATCGGCAGAGCTAAATATAAATTCCATGGGGGTTGGGGGAAAGACCTTGTCTATGCCCTGCTGCCCAAGGTCCCAGAAGTATCAAGCATGTAGTAAATATTTTCAGGTGAATGAATGAATGAATGAATAGTGGAGGGGGGGCAGTCCCCTTTTTTCCCCTGGGTCATGGGGCTGGTTAATGCATGCAGTTGGAGAGAGGTATCACCAGTAAGTTACTCACAGGAACAATTGCTACCACCATTGCACCCTACCACTGAAAGGGCCAGTCGTTTGCACGCTGGCAGAAGAATCTCATAAGCTGATTCTAATTTGGGGTCTGGCTTTTGGGACCCCTGAGAGAAGCAGTTCTTGAGTGTTACTATGTAGGCATATGGGAAAGGAGAGGAGTCCTCTGCTCTTAGACACGTTCATAATACATGCGCCAGAAACTAGCAGCTGGAGCGGTTAAGGTGGCATCTGAGAAGTTTTCAGGGAAACGCCTGTTGTCCCCTCAGAGCATCCAAGAGGGGCTGCCTGCTTTGCTTATAGATTTTGATGCCAGGGCACTGTATGTCTCCCACCCACTTCCAAATCCATTTAATACAACAACAGAGATGTCTTCCTTTGCCTTATTTTTTTTAAAAAAATTAATGTTTATTGTTGAAAGAGAAGGGAGACAGAGTGCAGGTGGGAGAGGGACAGAGAGAGACATAGAATCCGAAGCAGGCTCCAGGCTCTGAGCTGTCAGCACAGAGCCGGACGCGGGGCTCAAACCCATGAACCGCAAGATCATGACCTGAGCAGAAGTTGGACGCTCAACCAACTGAGCCACCCAGGCGCTCCCTCCTTTGCCTTATTTTAGCCTGTTTGTCTTGACCTGGAAAAAGTTGGCTTTTTCATTTCTGTTCCAGAAGGAGAAAGCGTGGCATATGCTTCCCAGAGGCACCAGCTTCAAGGTGGGGGCATGTGTCTCAAATAAGACACAAAGTAAGCGGTGCTGATATTTAATAGGATTGACAGTAGCATGCACTGGTGTTATTATACAAATACATATATGGAGAATGAGGGCTCAGGGTTTTGGGAAGATAGGGTTTTCAAGACGTAGAGGGTAAAGATGCTTACATGTTTATGGAAAACTTGCTTTTAATAGAACAGATCTATTGCCTATTTGTAAATTAGTTGATTGCTGTGGTTTTTCATTTCTTTATATTTGAGGCACAGCATACTCTCTTATAGTTCTTATAACCCCCTTTTAGATTAAGTGAATGTAATAAATGCAATATATTTTGGAACAAAAATCATAAACACAAATGCCCACTCCAATAGCTATAATCAGAATAGCTATGATCTGCTGAGCTGGCCAGGAGTGTGGATGGTGCACATGGCTATAATTTTATGTTTTGGTGCCTATGTCCTTTGTTTATTAGATGCTATTGTCACTCATAACGGCCATCCATCCACATTCCCCCCACCTCCTTCCCCTGCTTTCCTGCCCAGACTGGACCCCAGAGTGGCTCTTTCTTGGGCACCCCTTATCCTCCTACGGTCATGCACAGTAACTGTAGCTGTAGTAACAGCAAGACCATTCACTGCAGCAAGGCACGTGTAGGATTTGAAGGTGAACTAAGAATCCTAAAATATTGTAAATCACATCGCCCCACTGGAGCTGGGAAAACCGAGGCTTGGAAAGGTCAGGTAACTTTCCCAAAGTCTCACATAGTTTGGATTGGAATCCACCATCGTCTGCCTCTAAAACGAACACCTTTTTTTCATTCCTGTTGCCTAACTTGCTCACCCAAGCTCAGAGAAGCACCACCATCTCCTGGCTCTGAGCTTGCTTGGAGACTTCAAATGTTGCCAAATAAAGTTACAGAAGTTGCAAGATTAGTGCAAAGAACCCCAGGATACCCTTCACCTAGACGCTCTGATTGTTAACATTTTGACACTTTTATGTTGTATATATACATACATACTATTTTTTCTGAACCATTTGAGAGTAAGCTGCTACTATGCCACCCTGAACATCTGAAGGAGACCAACCCTGCCTTATGTTTTATGAGAGCACAGAGGCCACCCAGAACGAAGTCCTTCTGCCCTCCACCCAAGTGTGGTCTTTCCCCTTTTCCTCTAGGATGGGACCTTGGTCCAAGGAGGGACAGTCTGAACTTCTTGCTTTTGCCCTTGAACTTTGTCTGAGTCCTTCAAATTCTACTCAGATCCTACTCCCAGAGATTGGTCCTCTCTAGCACCCAAAAAAAGGAATCTCTTCTTGGCAAGGTAACACAAAGGCAAATAAAAAGGGAGCTTTCTGGATGTTTCTACCTATTCTGTAAAAGGGGGAGAGAGGGGATTCCCCTCAGCTTGTTATCCAGAGCTGCAGGGAAACTGTCATCCATGCTAATTCAAGTCTGTTTGCAAGACAGTTATCAATGCCGGTAACCTTTTTTTCTGGTAACTGCCCTCAGATAAAATTCCCTTTTGAAAAAAATTAATACTTTTGTTTTTACTTCCTTTGGTATAAAGCAGCTCGGTGGCTATAAAGTGACTTTTTGAAAGTAGAAACAGAAGGAAAAAAGGTTCTGTCTGCTCTGTGCAGGGGATGGAGGCGAAGGTGCAATTTCCCTTATCTGATAGGCCCATTAAAAGCAGGATTTACAATTTATTCACTAATCAAATGTATTGATTTACCCATTATGGGTGAAAATTAGCTTAAATCTCTACTTAAGCCAAGCATAATGCCTAGCATTTTTTTTTTTTTAGAACTAGAAAATCTGAGAGGTCTTTCAAAAATGCAGATCACCTTTGAAGATTTGAAAGATGCCTTAGGAAAACAGCCCACAGGTCAAGATGAATGGATAAATACAAATGGGCTTGGACCTGCAGTGGAATATTACTCAGTTTTCAAAAGGAGATTTTGACCCGTGCTAGAACATTTAAGAGCCTTGGAGACATTCTGTTGATTTAAACACAAAAGGACTACTATTTTCTGGTTCTGCATATCTGAGGTTTCTAGAATAGCCCATTCATGGAGACAGAGAGTAGAATGGTGGTCCCTGTGGGGCAAGCGGTGGTGGGAGGGGGAGTTTCTGTTTAGCGAGTACAAAGGTTCAATGGTAAGAAAATTCTGGAGGTGACTTCATGGCGGTGTTGGCCAACGTTGTAATGCCAATCAACTGTATAACAAAATGGTTAAAATGGTGGATTTTATGTCATCTATGTTTTGCCTCAATGAAAACAAAAAAGTGAAGTGCCCCGTTGGCATAGATTTGCGTGTATAAATACAGGCTGACCCCTTACTTATTGGCATATTATTTGATGTCATTAGAATTAGATGCGGGGGAATTAGAACTAGAGCTTATGGCTGGCACACGTATTACCATTTCTTAAAGTTTTCATGTGCTGTGAGCACAGCCTCGTTTCTCCTCCTAAACCCAGGGGTGGTATTTTGAGGAATTCTTAGGTCCTAGTAGGAGGAAATGGTATGGTGATTCATTAGCATGGGAACACGCTGTGCCCACACCGGCCGGCGCTGCCAACTCCGCCCAGGACAACAGTAATGGGACGGTGGGTGATGCCCGACAGGTCCTTCTGCAAAGTCTTGCAAGGATCCGCTACCGCCTCTGTCTCTGGAGCACGCAGCCTGAAGGTGGGCCACACACGGCACTCTCCCTGGGTCCTAGGCAGGTCCTGGGGTAACGCCGGCCTCTGACCAGTATGGCTGACCTTCCCCATGCTCTTGTATGTATTTATTTTTAATTTTTTTTAAATGTGTATTTATTTTTGAGCAGGACAGAGCAGGAGCAGGGAGACGGAATCAGAAGCAGGCTCCAGGCTCTGAGCTGTCAGCACGGAGTCTGACACGAGACCCAAACTCACAAACTGTGAGATCATGACCTGAGCCGAAGCCCGACGCTTAACCAACTGAGCCACCCAGGCGCCTCTCCCATGCTCTTTGGACTCTTTACACTGTTCCCAGTCCTTCTTTAAGTTAAGGAAGTTAAAGTTGAAAGAAGAGCTCCTCCAGCCCCACCTCCAACTTCACAGATGTTGAGGGTCTTGTGGTGGTTATTGTATTCAAATTCTTGATGCTTCTTATCTGGTTCAGATTTCAGTAAGTGCTTTCCAGAACTCAGAAACACGGAAATATATGTATTTACAACAGGAGCTGTACCGGGCTGTTGGGAAAAAACCCCTGGAAATGAGAAAGTTCCTCTTTTCTGTTGCAGGGATGGATCCTAATATATTGTGCTTGTCAAAGCCAGACCTTATCTGATTCCCCAAAGACCGACTTCATAATGGTGGAGAAAAGTTTCCTCTCCTTGTGTGTCTTTGTCTGAGATCAAAAGAGGAAGTCCTGCTTCCTCAAACATTGGGTTGTATTTTTCTTAGGATGAGTGAGTCGGAAGTATATTAAGTAGTCCCATGAAAGCTTCTGGGGCTGGTGAGGTATGCAAATCTAGAAGAAATTTTGCAAAATAATCAGCTGAGAAGGGTCCTTCTTTCAGAGGGTCCTCCCTTCTGCACACTTTCTGCTCACTTTATAAGCAGGAAGAGCCAGGGATCAGATTCCACATTTCGGCCCTTATTCGATGTTCACCCAGGAGTTTTAAAACAAAGTATGTGATTAGTCATATTATTTATATCCTAAGAGAATCACTGCTATTCATTCTTGCCTCAGTTAGTGGAGTACCTTTTAAGTCTAGCCACTGGATCTTGACCCTTTTATGGTTTGATTACAGATCCTAAAATCTGAGGGCTTTTGATGGCTTTTGATGGGCTCTTAAAATTTTTCAGAAGAGGAAACCGAGGCCTAGAGAACCTAAGTGACTTGCCCAAGATTTCGAATCCAGAACTTCTGTATTTCCCTACCATTACATTTTTCCTTCACGCCCTTCAGTAACTGCTGAAGGAGGCAGGGGGAAGCAGTAAGACATTAAAAGTATATAAATATTATTTAGCTTAGCAGAAGCCGAACAATTAATACTTTTGCTTATTTCCCACAACCTGAGAAAAGCTTTGACAGATGTCCTGTCTTTAAAAGACATTTATTGGAAGTTTGAATCTTTGCTCCTGGGTCCTCTTCTTAAGTTTCCTTAGAAGAAAGCAGAATATTTAACATCCCCTTGGTCTGGGGTCTGATTTCTCGAAAAGCACAAACATTTCAAGGCGGGGTGGGGTGGGGTGGGGGTGTCTTCTGCCACCAGATGGCATGCTTGTGAATCAGGAAGCAGTGGATGAAGGAGTTGAGGGTACAGGCGAAGAGAGGCTCCCCGTTGTACAAGGTTGAGGAATCCGAGTGGGGAGGTGCTTTACAGCAGAGGACGAGATGTGAGATCCCAATAACGGCCACCATGAAAGCAGGAAATGCAAATGCTGCAAATAAGGTGCAATCAGCAAGGCGATTCAGTAGTTCTGGCTTTGTCCAAGCACGCACCTTACTGGTTCTGTGGTTAAGGCAGAAAATAAAGGAGCTGACTTGGCCCCCGGAAGGAAACCACTCTCCGTAGCAGAGGCAGGAAGGACCCAAACCACAGGTGAATCCACCCAGACTGAGAGCCCACAGAAAGGTGAGTGGGTGAGAAGGTAGGATGTGGGTGTCGCCAGCCTGGTCCTGGCTTCCGAGAAAAGAGCACCCCTGTTTATGGTGGGACATCACTTTCTAGCACCGGGGAGCCTGGTGTACCTCTCTTCCCGGGGCGTCCAGGAGAATGGAGGACCCACATGTGGCACCCTGTGGATCCTTTTCCTGAAAAGAGCAGATCCAAAGAGAAAAGACCTGGAGGGGCGCCTGGGTGGCTCAGTTAAGTGTCCGACTCTTGACTTCGGCTCCGATCATGATCTCCTGGTTCGTGGGATGGGGCTCTGTGCTGACAGTGCAGAGCCTGCTTGAGGTTCTCTCTCTTTCTGTCCCTTCCTCTCTCATGCTCTCTTCCCCCACACCCAATAAACATTAAAAAAATGAAGGAAAAGGACTTGGAAAATAAGTGTTTTCACCTTAGCTTGCGCGCCTTTGAACCCCAGATGGGCTCCTGCACCTTATGGCCACATTCATCAGCCCCTGAACTCAGGCAGCAGCAGCCCCGGAGCCTGTGACAGGTCAGCGTCCTGACCTTCTCTGCCAGTCACTCCTCTCTCTGTCCCTGCTACCTTTTCTTTCCATTTTCGTTCTACGGCCTCTGTGGATACCCATCCCCCCTTCTAACTCCGCCCTCTAGGACCCACTGCCTCCCATGCTCCAAGAGTCCTCCCGCCCCCTCCTCCCCCTGCCCCCTGTGGCCCCGAGGTTGCCGGCCTTCAACAGTATGTGCGGTCAAGGCTCCTTTTCTCCCACACTCCACACCCCACGACCATTGTAGATTCTGGTGCGAATCGGCGTAGAGTGGGGCTGGGGCGTTGGCGATTCCAGTGTGTGGCCAGCCTCGTAATGAGTGATGTAGGATAGGACATGTCTGTCTGTGCTGATGATCGAGGGCTGACTCTCTGCCCACTTCTGCTCCCCCACCTGCTGCATGTCCTCAAAGACTATGGGATCCATCTAGAAGATCCAATGTACCACTTTATCTGGAATTTCCTCGTTCTCCTTTACCAACGTAGTCATGCCATCTATAGCCTACTCCAGCCACCATGTGTCCGCCATTTCTTTTTTGGCCCCTCTGTATTCTCTACTCCTTCCCTGGATGGGCCTATGGACACAGCTGGTTAGCCCTCCTCCCCCACTCACCTGCTGCCCACTGGTATGTTTGTGGCCCTGACACAGCACCCCCTCCCCCAAATTTCCAGGACATTCCAGTGCCACCCACCGGCCCAAAAACTTCTAAATCTGTTCTTCCTTCTCCAGTCTGTCAGCACCCCATCTCCCCATCACCTAAGCCAAACACAGGTGTCTTGTCTTCTCCCTCTCACTTTTTCACTGCTCAGATGCAACCTACTCCAGGACCTTTACTCACCCATCAGTACCAGCCTTCAGTGCTCCCTCAGAAATCTGACAAGCACACATCAGTAGCTCCCTCTCAGGCTGGGCTCACCCCCTTACTGTGACGAAGGGGGTCCTGCGATGATCTTGCCCTTCAGGACCCTGATGCTGCAGCGATTCTGAATGATACTGTGCTACTAAGCACACACCTTCCTAAGTCTGTGATATTTGCTCTTATGTTCTCCGCACCTAACAGACCTTTCCCCTCCTCTACCCTGGGGCTTGGCCAGGTCACACACGTTCTTCTTTATCCTGAGCTCTGGGAATTGTTTTCTGACCCTCTTCTTGCCCCACCCCATTTCCCTTCTTGATGTGTTGCCTTCATCCTAAGGCTCTGTATTCCTGGGCCCCAGCCCCACCCAGGACAAATAGTAGGAACTCAAGTACCATTTCATCAAAAAAGACCATTTCCGAAGTGCCTGCTTTGTTCCCCGTCCATCTCTGCCACTAATGACTAAGGCTGCAGCTTTTATTTTTCTGCCTATTAGTTCCCTTCTGTCAATTAGTTCATAATCTTTAGACCAACATTGAAATATACTTCAGGAGCTGCTTTAAAAAAAAAAAGTGCTGCAGTGAAGTCTCTGTTATTTTGTGATTTTAAGCTGACTTTCAAATGGCCGATTGTTTTACAGTGGCACATTGCTATGGTTGGAAACCGTAAACTGTCTCAAATACTGAAACAAATTTTGTATAATCACTACAAATCCCATACCTAGTGTAGTACCGAGGCTGGGCATGCAGAGAGAGAATTTCTTTCATTCTTAAGAACTAAGTACAAATTGCACTGTGCCAAGGGATTGGTTTTGAGGCTGTGGCCACAGGAATATTGCAGCGGAAGACCTAAGACCGTGAGATTGTGTCAATTACTTGTTATTTATCTTGTGTCTAACCTGAGGAGATTTTAATAATGAGCTGTATCCCGGTAAGTGCTTTAATCTCGGTATTACAAGGTTAAAGATACATCTGAACTCTCTTACCCAGAAAGTCCTTTGAAAATAGCAGAGTTGTGAATCTGGAATCAGGTGATCCATTAGGACTGTCCTCCAACTTGTCCATGGAGGTGCTGTTAAAGGTTGGGGGCAGTAGGGATTTGGGTGATAGGTTTGGGAGGATGTAGCTGTAAGGTGGTTTGGTTTTGTTAAAGGCTCATGTTGTTTCCACCTGAAGAATGAACTTATTTTACTTTCTATTTCATGATATGTCCTATAAAAGAATGTATAAAATTATTT